AAGGTCCAACAGCTTTTACACACTCAGCCATGAGCCCAGTTGTACATGAGCAACCTTTGACAATCAGGACTTATTTACGAAAGCACCATTTGCAAAACTGTACTGTAAGCTGCAGTGGCCCTGAGCATCAATATGAGTGGGACAGACATGGTTTGAGTACAAATACATGCACATACAAGCAATTATTGTTCCACATTTGTCTTTGGCAGCAGGTGAGAAAAATTGTACACAACCCATTCCACACCATCAACCTCATCCAAGATTGTGATGGTGTCATGCTGGGATACAAGTTTTCAAAACTATGCAGGTACAAAAAGTCCACAAAGTTTTATGGTTTTTCTTACTGCTGCAGGTTCTTCATCACAGTCATACTTAACTTTATAACTGTATTATGTTAAGATATTTTTAATCTAGACTGGTCTTATGATTTTGATCTGCTCAGAGACGGGATTATAATGAAATTATGACTCGGTTCTGACTGGGTTAAACTGGGCCAGCAAACTCTTGAGAGAGTCTCCCTGGGTTTTCAATATCAGTCAAATAGTTGAATCTGCTTGCCACATCACATAGAAAGGCTTTGAAGCACCGTCTCATGTTTTTCCGAACACGTTAATCCACATAAGACCACACTTAGCCACGCCCCCTCATACACTGATAGGCTGAGCCCCCCTTCTGCGAAAGGAGGAGTCATAGGACCCCTTAAATTAGTAATGACACGGGACTTCGAGGCTCTTCCGGGTCTGTGGACGCGTCACAGTCCGGAGAGTCAAGCGTTGTAAAACTGTAATCTTCTCCTGCCTTTTTAATATAATTGATCAAACTTAATTGACGTCTCATTGATTTATTTGTTAGCATGAGTTGCCACTTCTGAGGGAGGTTCGAGCCGGGGGTAAAGACATAATAATATGTCTTGTGCTGAAATTCATCATGGAGTTTATTCAAATAAACATTCTGATCAATATCAGATCATGAGCGATGTCACTGGGTATGTTTACATGGACATAAGTAACCGGATCAAATGGCCGGTCGGAATAAAAGTGTGTCATGTAAACGCTCCGTTCGGGTTATTTTTTGTGTATTCGGCGCGATCTGATATAATTTGTGATCAGAACGAAACGGGTGGTTTACGCCGATCCGTAACCCGATCGGTGCGCATGTAAACGCTTGATCTGTTCGTTTTTATCTGATGGTGAAAAACTGACCTGACTGCGCATGTGCGACTTTGCCATTTCTGCCTGGCTAACGCTAATAATATTAGCATGTCAGGGAAGTAAAACTGGTCGGTGAGCGACACAACATTTCTACTAGAAACTTTTAAAGAGCTCAAAATGATTTCTATTACCTGTAGCTCAGTCAGGGAGTGCAGTAACGTCTCCACCATCATTAAAACCTGTCGCGGGTCCATTTTGGGTGCTCAGGTTTGTTTACGTTCACCCGGAAGTAGAACTTCTTCTTCTGTGGTTTTTTAAGGAGAGTGTACCACTCTGCGCATGTCAGTACTGCTGTTCAGAACAAAGCCCGCTGCATGTAAACGCTTGTCATGAACTGATTGTGCCCATGTAAACAATACATTTGAATTATTCAAACAGAACACATTTCAATCCGCTCAAAGAATTCTGCGCATGTAAACACAGCTAGTAATGAATTAAATGATGTATCTGAATAAACGCTGCTTTGTGGATACATGTGGTGATTAAATTAACCACATGTAAACAATGTCTAAATGCTCACCGTGTCTTAGGAAATGAGAGCTGACTTTTAGATTTTGTTACCGTTCTTTTATAATCTGCCTGCTGACATCCAATAATATCTGGTGAAGATTCTCAGTCATCCAGGACATGATAAACTGATTTAAAGAGAGAAACCATCTCTTAACAGAGGGGCCTCATCTGTGAATTAGATTAAAAAAGACCTTAACAAACATCTACTGTGAGCTGAGAGAGATCAATCTGCATATGTAGGTGTATCTTATCAGAGTCAGTCAGAAAGTCAGAGTTTCTTTATTGTCATTCACACCCCATGTGGTACATTTGGTGGAACAAAATTATGTCCACAGGGTCCCAATTACATCCAATAATAAAATGTAAAAGAAAAACAGTAATAAGATCTAAGATATGAACTAAGAAAAACATCAATATACACTAAGCACTCATAGAATAAAAACATGACATTGAACATCAGCACAAACATGAGTCTGTGTGAGCAGATGAGCACGCATAAACACATTGATATGAAACAGATCAGCAGCAACGTGAAACAGATCGGCAGCAACGTGAAACAGATCGGCAGCAACGTGAAACAGATCAGCAGCAACGTGAAACAGATCAGCAGCAACGTGAAACAGATCGGCAGCAACATGAAACAGATCGGCAGCAACATGAAACAGATCGGCAGCAACATGAAACAGATCGGCAGCAACATGAAACAGATCGGCAGCAACATGAAACAGATCGGCAGCAACATGAAACAGATCAGCAGCAACATGAAACAGATCAGCAGCAACATGACGTGATATTTCACAGTGATTATTCTGGTTAGAGATTCATGAGTCTAACAGCCTCAGGGTAGAAGCTGTTCCTCAGTCTAGTGGTTCTACACTTAATGCTCCTCAACCTCCTTCCTGAGGGGAGTGGGGCAAAAAGTGTGTGTGCTGGGTGAGTGGGGTCCTTCATGATGCAGGTGGCCCTCTTCCTGCATCTGGAGGTGTAGATGTCTGTGATGGTGGGGAGACTGACTCCAACATCTTCTGTGCAGCCTTCACCACTCTCTGCAAAGCTTTTCTTTCTGCAGCTGTGCAGCCTCCATGCCACACGTTGATGCTGGAGCACAGGATGCTCTCCACTGCACACCTGTAGAAGGAGGTGAGGACTGAGCTTCCAGACCAGCTCGTCTCAGCCGTCTGAGGAAGTAGAGTCTCTGATGAGCTTTCTTGATCAGGCTGGTGGTGTTGTTGCTCCAGCTGAGGTTGTCATTCATGTGTACACCCAAGTACTTGTAGCTGGAGACCACTTCCACCGCAGATCCTCTTATGTTCAGGGGGGTGTAGGTGTTTTTGTTCCTTCTGAAGTCCACAATCATCTCCTTTGTCTTCTTCACATTGATGTGAAGGTTATTCTCTCTGCACCAGCTCTCCAGGTGTTCCACCTCTTGCCTGTAGCTGGACTCATCATTGTTTGTGATGCATCCCACCACCGCTGTATCATCTGCAAACTTTACAATGTGACAGCCTGGATGGGTAGCTGCACAATCATATGTGAGCAGAGTAAACAGGAGGGGGCTCAACACACATCCCTGAGGAGAGCCAGTGCTGAGGGTTATGGTGGAGGAGGAGAGGTTGTGGATCCTCACTAACTGTGGTCTGTTTGTTAAAAAGTCTAGTACCCAGTTGCAGATGGAGGGGCTTAGTCCTAGTGTGGATAGTTTGTCCATCAGGGTTTGGGGGATCATGGTGTTGAAGGCGGATGTGAAGTCCACAAAGAGCATACGGACGTAAGAGTTTTTCTGCTCCAGGTGGTTGAGTGCAGTGTGGACCACAGAGGAGATTGCATCCTCTGTTGATCGGTTCTCACGGTATGCATACTGATGAGGGTCCTCGTTGATGTTGATGGTTGTTTTGATGTGAGTCATGACCAGTTTTTCAAAGCATTTAGCGACTATCGGGGTGAGGGCCACTGGCCGATAGTCATTCAGACCAGTCACTGTAGAGCTTTTTGGGACTGGGATGATGGTGGCAGTCTTCAGGCAGGTGGGAACTGTCTCCAGGGTAAGTGAGGTGTTAAAGATGTCTGCCAGCACCTCACAGAGCTGATCAGCACATTCCTTCAACACTTTTCCGGGGATGTTGTCTGTCATTATCTCAGCCTTATAACCTGAATCTCTCACTCTCTGCTCTTTGAATTGAGGAAGCTCCTCGGATGAGGAGCGGAACTTCTTCTGTTACAAATAAAGTCCAGTTGTTTTGTCTTGAACGTTTTTGAATCCAAAAATAGATTTTGTTTGATTTTCCCTACACATGATTGAATTTTGGAGTCAAAACATTGAAAGATAGCCAGCATAAACAAACGACTTGATAAAACACAAACATATCTCAAATTGAGCTCAAATTTATTGTGGCTGTATATTCTGAGCATCATCCTCGACACACGTATACTTCAGGCACAGCACGTTATGGAACATTATTATTTAAAAGCCTTGAACTATTGAAGTCACCCCTGGTCGTCTTTCAGCACATTTCATGAACAACTGGACACATTGGACAGCTGGACACATTGGACAGCTGGACACATTGGACAGCTGGACACAACTAATTCATTTCAGTGAAACGTTCAGAAACTAATCACGAACTAGAACTGACGAACTTCAGGAGCCCACCTGATACAAGATGGTCACTTGAGGTAGATCAACCTTTATTTAAACAGGTTAGTCCCACTGAACAACAACAACAACAACAACAACAACAACAACAACAACAACAACAACAACAACAACAACAACAACAACAACAACAACAAATGATTCATACAAATATGTTTTGTTGGTTTGTTTTACCTCCACTACAGCTATAGCGATATGAATTTGATACGGAGCCAGATTTTGGAGTGGTAGTAGCTGAGAGTCTTAACTTCACATGAACCAAGGGCTAAAGAAACAAGAGACCGCGACTGTTAAACCAACTTGCTCTTACCGTTATTTGCTTTTAGAGCTACTAATTGTTTATATCTGATACAAAGTCAAAAGTATTTTGCTGATTATGTGAATTTTTTTTTTAAAGATGAAAAAATGTTTCTGACAAGTTGTAAAATAATTATTAACATCGTGAGGCTGGCTAAATGCTAACGTTGAAGAAGAGTGATGTGATAGAAACAGGTGACTTCCTGATTATAAAAGTCCTGCAGCCTCTCAGACAGCCGGTCCTTCAATAATCTGAGAGTTAATTAAACTCTCTCCGCCGGTGTGTGTGATAACAAACATAAAGTCACAATGTTTTTGTTTTCTCCTACCCGTAACTCTGTACGTTCCGCCATTTTCCTGTTCCGGTCATGCTACGTTCTTCTTCTTCTTCTTCTTCTTCTTCTTCTTCTTCTTCAGTTTTATTGACAAACAACAAAATTGGTGCGTCACCGCCACCGACTGGCGAGGAGTGTGCACCAAATGTCATCCAAGGATTAAATTCCCTTAAATAACTGTTTATTTAAGATAACGAAAGAAGAGTTGTATTAGTATTTATGTTGATTTAAGAAAGGCATTTGATACTATAGATCATGGAATTCTTCTTGATAAACTATATAAATATGGTATTAGAGGGACAGCATTAAAGTGGGTAAATAGTTACTTGGAAGATCGAAAACAATTTGTTCAAATACATGACATAAGATCCAGATTTAGTAATATCACATGTGGAGTGCCTCAGGGCTCAGTACTTGGACCCAGGTTATTCAATTTGTATGTAAATGATTTGGTTGATGTGTCAGACCTTTTTAAATGTATTTTATTTGCAGATGACACAACATTTATTTGTAAGGGTGATGATGCAGAACAAATGCTGGAGATAATACGGTCAGAATTTGTGAAAATCCAAAATTGGTTTCTTCTAAATAAGTTATCATTAAATCTGGATAAAACCTATTATATGATACACACTAACAGAAAAACTGATGTTCACGCACAATTTTTGATAGATGGAATTGAAATTTGTAGAGTTAGTGAAGTTAAATTTTTGGGTGTTATTATTGATGAGAACTTAACATGGAAACCTCATATAAACAATTTGAGAACAAAAATATCTAAATCGATAGCAATTCTGTATAAAGTAAGAGAGTTATTCAATGATAATGCAATGTTTATGTTGTATAATGCAATAGTTGTCCCTTATTTGGTTTACTGTATTGAAGTCTGGGGTAAAGCGTGTAAAACTATAACTAATCCTTTGTTCATTTTACAGAAAAGAGCTGTACGAATTATTATGAAAAAAAACTATAGATATCCGTCGAATACTTTATTTCATCAACTGAAAATTCTGAAATTCTATGATTTGGTTAATTATAACATTTTGTTGCTTATGTATAAGGCACATATAGGCATTTTGCCCGTTACTATTGAGACGAATTTTGTTAAAAGAGAGAGTGTATATTTTCTTAAAGGAATTGAGATGTTTGTGAAGCCTTATTTTAGTACCAGTTTGAGGGAACGATCCACAATAATTCAGGGGATAGGATTGTGGAATTGTTTGGATGATAACGTTAAAAATGCCAGATCACTGTTTACATTTAAGAGATTGATAAAGACAAGTTTCTTGAAAGAATATGGAAATCATTAATATAAATCTACTTAAGTTGTTGTCTGATTTGATTTAGACGTTTGAGTTTTATATTTTAATTTCACTAAATCGTTATTGTCTTTGTGAATTACATTTAAATTTAATTTTGTAAAAATATCTTGATTTACATTAGAATTAAGTAAAAAAGGGGCAGTTTTCATAAGACTAGTTCTTCTTCTGCCACCTTTCATTTTATTTAATTTTTTTTTTTATATTGTATGTATATTTATGTGTATGTATATATATATATATATATATATATATATATATACAGTATGTATATGTATATGTGTACATATATGTTTATGTATACTGTATATGTGTTTTTTAAATGAAATGAATAAATTAATTAAAAAAAATAAATAAATAAAAAGATTATCTGATAAATTTTACTATTCGAGTTATTTCTGAATAAATCAATTAAATCTAGTTTTACTTTAATTTTATTTAAATTTTGAATTAGCTGTGGTCTTTCTTCCTCATATGTTTTGCAGTGTAACATTACATGTTGTCTCATCTGCTCCACAGTGTTCACATTTACCAGTGCAGTGTTTCCCTAACATGAAAAGAGTGCTGTTTAACCCAGTATGCCCAAATCTGAGACGAGACATAACTGTCTCTTCTCTCCTCGTCCTCCCTGTACTTCTCATGTCTCCAGTTTTCTTTTGGATTTTATAGAACCAGCGTCCTTTCTTCTCTTCCTCCCATATCTTTTGTCATTTATCCTTCATTTTCTGTTTTATTAAAAGTTTTATTTCTGTTTTACTAAAATTAACTAAGGGCAGCACGGTGGTGCAACTGGTAGAGCTGCTGCCTCTCAGCGAGCAGGTCCCTGGTTCAAATCCCGGTCCAGGGGCCTTTCTGGGTGGAGTTTGCATGTTCTCTCCGTGCATGCGTGGGTTTTCTCCGGGTACTCCAGTTTCCTCCCACAGACCAAAAACATGCATGTTAGGCTGATTGGTAACTCTAAAATGTCTCTAGGTGTGAGTGAGAGAGTGAATGGTTGTTTGTCTCGTTTGTCTCTATGTGTCCCTGTGATGGACTGGAGACCCGTCCAGGGTGTACCCCGCCCCTCGCACAGTGATTGCTAGACATGGGCACCAGCGACCCCTGTGACCCAAAAATGGAATAAGCGGGTAAAGATAGTGGATGGATGGATAAAATTAACTACTAAATCCACTGATGGATTTCTTTTTTTTTTTCCACTTTAATTTTTATTAACATTTTCAATAGAACATAACATTCTAAGGATATAGCTCATACATTTTCCAGATTATGGTAGCCTAAACAGGCCTCTCTTTACAATAACAATTAAAAAACAAATAACTATAAAGGGGTGCACACATTCATACAACAATAACTTTTTGTTAAAATCATTAAAAATAATAAATAAATAAATAAAATTATATATGTAAAATAATAAGAACAATAAAATAAAATAAATCTCGGTCATAGATGCTTATGGTCTAGAAATTCCCCTGTTAATGGCATTGAGTTTCCTCATGTCTCTTCTTGGGTGCGTCCATTTTTCCCACTTGTTCAAAAAAAATCTTCTTTTAGTCTAAGAATGTAGGTCATTCGCTCCATCTCATAAATGTCCCTAACAATATTCAGCCATTGTTGTATGGAGGGAGCTGACATCTGGTACCAGTTTCTTGTTCTAGCTTTTTTACATGACATTAACAGTATCTTAATCAAGTACATATCTTCATTCAATACACATTTATTTATATTTCCAAGATACATTGTCTTAAAATCTTTTGATAATGGGTATCCCAAAATAGCTCTGATTGTAGTATTCACATTTCGCCAATATGAATCTAATTTTGGACACTCCCAGAATATGTGTGTATGTTTGCTTCTATATTTCCACACATTCTCCAACATGGTAGATGAGATTTGGTTTGTTTGCTCTTTATCTTGGGTGTAATGAAAAACCTAGTGAGGTTTTTCCACCCAAACTCTGTCCAAAGTCTGGAGTTTGTTGCTGTGCTCTGATTTATACATATATCCTGCCATTCTTCTGATGATATTTCAATTTTGGATTCTTTCTCCCAGCTAGTTTTTATGTATGTGGTTGATGTTGGTGTGTCCTCCCTCAGAGTTTTATATAATGATGTTATTTCCTTGAATTGAATCCCTTTGTAGGTCTTAATCACCCAGCCAAGTACACCATATGATGTTTGAGAGCTTTGTATTTCCCTCAAAAAATAGTTTCTGAGCTGCAAATATCTGAAGAAGTCAGTTTTCTCTAGTTGATATTTTCCTCTTACTTCTTCAAAACTCATCATCTTACCATCTTTAATTCTAGTACAGATTGCAGTTATTCCGTTGTACTCCCAATTTTTAAATCCCTGATCATGTTTGTTTGGTGTAAAACTGCCATCATGTGCAACCCAACGTATCATCCCAACTTCCTTTCCCAGTTTGTTTTATCTTTTCAGACCACATGTCCAAGGTATGAGGAGTTATTGAATCAAGTCGGTGCTGTGTAGTATGACAGGACAGCTTTGCTGCTGACATTACTACTTAATTAATTATTCTTAAAGCTAGTTTAAGCACAAAGAATATTAATTGTTTAATTAACAACGGATTTTTTCTTTTTCGAGATAAATTTCTTCCATGTGACCAAGATAACTTGAGAGTGGAGTGTATAATTAGTGACATGAGACGTCATTTATCTTTGACCCATCAGAATAAATGCGGTCATTTATTTAACAGAATCATTAAAATTAACATCAAAACATGTACACTTGATTTGCTGATCTGTTTCTGATTAATAAACTTAGCAAGTTCAAATAACAAGACAACAGAGGATTACTGATGAAGAATAATTCATCTCTGAAGGCACTTAGCTTGATTTACTGGCAAAGAGGTTTACAAGAGGAGATATTGATTTAGATTTAAAGAGGAGATTTAGATGGAGGAAGGAAAATGTGTTGACCCGGAATGGCACCCTTCTTTCGACCCCAGCTCAGCCCTCGGTACACTCAGCGTCTGACGACTCTTTACCTTTGCAGAAGATAAATCAGCTCCGGTGCAGAGGTCCATTTCACGCTATCTTTCAGCGTCTCCGGTCAGAGTGGCTGGGAATCGTCAGAAGTCGTGACGAAGTACTCTGTTCAACAGAATAAGCTTCCTTAGAAGGAATCTTCATTAGAAGTTGTAGGGCGTTACGCCCGAGTGAGTTCACAGCGAGGCGTGCTGTGACTCCGCTGGAATGGACGGACCCTTGGCTCATGGTCCAACTCCATCAGCTAAGACTGAGTAAGACTTTCAGTAAGAACTGAAAGTTCCTGTACGACTCGCCGTAAGACTGAGTCTTCCAGTAGGACTGAGTCTCATCCTAGACTGAAAGTTCCAGGAAGACTCGTAAGACTTAAAGTTCCAGTAAGACTGAATAGTTCCAAGAAGTGTTGACTTTTAAAGGGTATCCACTTCCTGTTACGTGGTACTTCCTGATTGGTTAACACAACCAGCAGGGGTGGAGTTTTAGTGATGTCAGAGGGTTATTAGAAGTCAACAGACAGCAGAAATGTTTTTAAGAACGGTTAGTACAGACAGGAAAATATTTTGAAGAAATGACAGACTTTGCAGGTGCCAGTTTCTTATTTACTGTCTGAGAGTTTCAAAAACAAGGCACTTCGTTCTCATAACTTGTTCTCTGACTTTTGACCGACATCAAATCCACTCCACATTCAGACAGAAGATTAAAATGCACACTTACTCTGTAAATAGACATTTAACGTGTATAATCAAAGTCTAATGAGGTTTAAAACTCAT